CAATTGGAAAGCACCCTTTGTTACTCACTAAGGGTGCTTTCTAACTACGTACACTGTGTTACACAAAACCAGTTTATTGGTGGCATATTATCTTACAAGATATTTTACGGTGCTTTCTAATTACGTACATTGTGTTACACAAAACAGTTTATTGGTTGCATATTATCTTACAAGATATTTTAGATAATATGTGACCAATAAATTGGTTTTGTGTAACACAGTTGGTCTGTTCTTTCGCTCTGCACTGCTGCACTGGTGCAATAAGTTAGAGTGAGACAAATATATATTTGTCTCACTCTAACTTATTGCACCAGTGCAGCAGTGCAGAGCAAAAGAACAGACCTATAGTAACGTAGCTGGAAAGCACCCTTATTGGCTCCTGCACACAGGACGCGGTAATGCTTGCCGCACGGCAGAAGTCCGCGCGACAGCCAATCAATATTGTTTTTCCGTAAGAGCTAGAAGGTTATTACAGAAAGCAGCATATTGATTGGCTGTCGTGCGAATTTCCGCCGCGCGGCAAGCATTACCGCGTCCTGTGTGCAGGAGCCATTAGATAATATGTAACCAATAAACTGGTTTTGTGTAACACAGTAGCTGCGTTCCGAAATGCACTACCAGTACTGAAAATCTATAGTTTATGTTACGTATATTATAGAATTTTAGTACTGACAGTGAATTTCGAAACGCAGCTAGTGTAACGTAGCTGGAAAGCATCCTAAATGTGGAACAAAGATAGAATGATATTTGTATCGACTTGTGTCTCTTGTTGGAAAGCAACCAAAAGTGAGCAAATTCACTAGGCATTGTCCAATGAAGTTACATATATGCTAGTAAATTTGCTCACTTTTGTCATTTTCACTCCGATTTGAGATACACATTCGACCCCCTGAACGCAGCCTTGTGTGCGGAAGCCATTTCGGCGCTTATTTGCTAGAATCTGTTTGAATTTTACAAGTGGAACATTTGTAATACAAATCGTTGTTAATATTAAGTGTTTTGTATGTGTGTGTAACATTACTATTATTACTTCATTATGTATATCAAATCGATGGTGCTGGAAGGATTCAAATCGTACGGCAAAAGAATCGAAATAAACGGTTTCGATAAAGAATTTAACGCGATCACAGGATTTAATGGTAGTGGAAAATCGAATATTTTAGATGCAATATGCTTTGTTCTGGGTATTACAAATCTTGGTCAGGTATATTTTGTGTATTACATGTATTCTTTTAATAAAATAATATTGATTTAACTTTATCAAATAGTACTCCAACATAGCCTTATTTTTGTAATGTAACGTAGACGATATTTTTCTTAGATTATATTTAGTTATATTATGCTAATACTATAAAAAAAATTATCACTTAAAGCTGTTGGTGTGAAGTTTATAACATTTTATATGTAATATTTATTAATGTTCAAATTATTAATTTATCATATATAACAAATATGATTGCTCTATTTTAATACAGGTTCGTGCTACTTCTTTACAAGATTTAGTTTATAAATCGGGCCAAGCAGGAATAAAAAAAGCTAGTGTTACGATAACATTTGATAATCATGACAGAGAATCATCTCCTATGGGTTATGAACACCATGAAGAAATTGTTATTACAAGACAAGTAGTAATTGGTGGGAAGAATAAGTATATGATTAATGGGACAAATGTACAAAATAAACGTGTACAGGATTTATTTTGCTCTGTTCAATTGAATGTAAATAACCCACATTTCTTAATCATGCAAGGAAGAATAACGAAAGTATTAAATATGAAGCCAGTCGAAATCTTGTCTATGTTGGAAGAAGCAGCAGGTACAAAAATGTATGAAAAGAAGAAACAGTCTGCATTGATCACTATAGAAAAAAAGGATAAAAAATTAAAAGAAATAAACAATGTATGTTGTTGACACAGTTTGGTGTTTATATATTTCATATATGTTTCTTAATATTTAATTGTTATATATTGTTTAGATTTTGAAAGAAGAAATAGGTCCAAAATTAGATAAATTGAAGGAAGAGAGAATACAATATGTGGAATTTCAACGGATAGAAAGAGAACTTGAACACAGCAAAAGAATTTATCTTGCATGGAAATATGTTGCTGCTTTACGTAATAGTGAGGATGCAGAAGAAAATGTTGAGATTGTTCAAGATAAAATAGATTTAAAGCTGAAGGAGATAGCTGTTGGTGAACAAGAAATAAAAAATATTGAGGCAAAATATGCTGAATTATGGGAGAAAAAGAAAGCTGTATGATATTTCTATTATTATTATTATATTTCTATTATTTTTTCATAAATTTTCAATAGTAACAATTTAGTAGTAATAATTATGTAATCTTCTCAATAATTACATCAAAGACAATTTGAATAATATTTTGTTAGATTCACATTGTGTCAAAATAAATATTTGTAATTTCTAACAGGGAACAGGTGATAAATTAGAGTCATTAGAGCATGAACTGCAGGAATATGAAAAAAAACAGATTAAATTATCAGCTGAAGCTAATAGTAATAAGGAGAATATTAAAATAGTAATTAAAACAATGGAGCAAATAAAGATCAACATAGAAGATGATAAAAAAGCACTTACATTAAAGGAAAAAGTAATAGAGAAAGTGGGTAGTCTTTTTCAAGAATTGAAGGAAATGGATCAAAAGGATGCTGAAGCAGTGCTAGAAGCACAAGAGAAGTACCAGAAAATAAGTTCAGGTCTACTAGAGAGTGAAGATGGCGAAAATGCAACATTGGAGCAACAACTAATAAATGCCAAGCAGAGTATGATACAGGCGCAAACTGAGCTTAAACAATGTGAAATGACATTGAATCACAATAGGCAGCAGTTGAGTAGGAAACAAAAAGATATGCATAATACTGAAAATGAATACAAAAAGTATAATATGGATCTAGAGACAAAAGAAAATAAATTAAAAAATTTGGAAAATGAATTGAAAAAATTGAATTATACTGATAACCATGCGGGAGATCTGAAGAAGCAAAGACAAACCTTGATTGCTGATATAAGATCATTGCATGACAAAATTGATCAGTTTGAATCGAGACATCCTCAAACGAGATTTGAATATCAGAAGCCTGAACCTAATTTTAATATGAAATCTGTAAAAGGCACAGTGTGCAAGTTGTTTAATGTAAAAGATAAAATAAATGCTTATGCCTTAGAGGTTGCTGCAGGGGGAAAGGTAATATTACTCCATTTACATTTTTCTGAAATCTTTTTTTTTTGTTTCACAGATGTAATTATGTTGCAGCTTTATAATGTAATAGTAGATGCGGAAACCACAAGTAAGAAAATACTTCAACATGGAAAATTACAACAACGAGTTACATTTATCCCACTGAATCGAGTGGCCGGTAGACCTATGGATCGACAAACTATTGATTTAGCAGAAAGACTGGTTGGAAAAGAGAATGTTCAACCTGCCTTGTCTCTTATAGATTTTCCACAGGAAATTACATCAGCAATGACCTGGGTGTTTGGTCAAATATTTGTATGCAAAGACATGGAAAGTGCCAAGAAAATAGCATTTCATGAAAGAATCATGAAGAAGTGTGTTACTTTGGAAGGTGATCTTTTTGATCCAGCTGGTACCTTATCTGGTGGTGCTCGAGCGAAATCTGGCTCAATTATATTAAAATTGGAAGAACTGAAAGAAACACAGAATGAATTAAATAACAAAGAACGTCTTTTGAAAGATATGGATGCTACCTTATCAAATGTTGAAAAAACTACAGAACAATATACATCATTAAAGCAAAAATATGATTTGTTGACTTACGAGATTGGTATTGTGCGTCAAAGATTGCAGCAAACTACTTATCATAAGATCAAGGAAGAGGTACATATGTACATAAATAATTTTGCTTTAGTAGATACAACATAATCATAACATAAAAGAAAATCTTGACTATGTACATTCATTTATACTTATACGTTTATTTTCAGATGGATTCTTTGAATGCAGCTATTGAAGAACTTACGCAACGAATGATCACAGCAAAGAATTTAGAAAGAGATAGCACAAAACGTGCAAAAGATATAGAACTGAGATTGAAGGATGCAGTAAATATTCGAGAAAGACAATTAAAGGAGGTTGAAAATCAACTAAATATCTTAAAGAAAAAGGCAGAACAGAGTCATAAAGAATGGCAAAAGAGAGAACAAGAATCAGAGACGCTTGAATTAGAAATTAAAGAATTGAGAAAAACTATTGAAAGTGGTAATGAACAATTACTTCAAGCAGAGAAAGAAAGTAATATGTTTAAAGAAAAAGGGGAAATGTTTGAGGAACAATTGAAAGAAATTAAAAGTAAAGTTAAAGAATATCAAGATAATGTTAAGAAACAAAAGGATATTATTCATAAGCAAAATAGAGAGATGCAAAATTTATTGACAAAGAAAGAAGATCTCATTAAACAAAATAAAGAATCTGAGTTGGATATTAAAAAATTAAATCATGAAATTAACAATATTAAAAAATGCGTAGCGGATTGTAAGCGTAAGGTTTCAGAGTTCGCGGAAACATACGAATGGATTAATGAAGAAAAAGCTTATTTTGGAAATAAAGGTATGAAAAAATGCTTTAATTTTAGATTAAATGAATTTAATATAAAATTGATATAAACAATAAATGGTAAAATTTTTTGTTAAATGATTATAAAGAAGCTTGTCATATATTTGTTTATTTACTTTTTAGGAGGTATATATGATTTTGAAGTTAATAAACCAGAGGAAATAGGACCAAAAATACAACATTTGGAAGGAATACGTGAAAAGCTAAGTCGCAATATAAATACACGGTCCATTAGCCTTCTTGATAAAGAAGAGGAACAATATAATGACACTATGAAAAAGAAGAAAATAGTCGAAAATGATAAGATAAAAATTCTTGAAACCATTAAACATTTAGATGAGAAGAAAAAACAAATTTTGGTTAAAGCTTGGGAACAGGTATATAATATTTCATTGTAAGATAAAAACATGTACATTTACATGCTCATATGTGCAACGAGCAGTTCTCGAAATATTGAATCTGTATTTATATAAACTCACAGTTTCTGAAATTTATAAATTCCGTTTTTTTTCTTAGGTGAACAAAGACTTTGGTTCTATATTTGGAACTTTATTACCAGGAGCCAATGCTAAGTTAGAACCGCCGGTGAATGAAACAATAATGGATGGTCTGGAAGTGAAGGTTGGATTTTCGGGTGTTTGGAAAGAGTCATTAGGAGAATTATCCGGTGGTCAAAGATCACTAGTTGCTTTGTCACTAGTCTTAGCTATGCTTCTTTATAAGCCAGCTCCGTTGTACATTCTGGATGAAGTAGATGCTGCCTTAGATCTATCACATACGGAAAATATTGGTACAATGTTAAAACGACATTTTAAGTGTTCGCAATTTATAGTTGTGTCCTTAAAGGATGGAATGTTTAACAATGCTAATGTTTTGTTTACAACTAGATTTTTGGATGGTATGTCAACGATATGTAGAACTGAAAAAATACGATCTAAATAATTGTATCGCACACATATAAATGCATATATTTTCATGAGAGAATCCATATTTCCTTTATTTTTTTGTCAACTTGTGTAACTACTTTATATAGTATTAAGATACATTTTTAGTTTATATAAGTTCTAATATGATTTTGAATGTACAATAATAAATACACCTACATAATTATTAACAATTAAGCTGTATTTGTTAATTATCTAATGATAAATATTATATTTGAGAATTGACTATGCTGGACCAATCAATTTCTGCAAAGAACGGATGACGCTTTATTTCGTTTATCGTCAATCGCTCGTCTGGATGATATTTCAGAATCTGTAATAATATTGTAAACAATTTTTTAAATCTTTAAAGAATTTTTAAATAATAATAATTTTTTAATAATAATTTTTTTAATAATAATTTATACAAGTAAACTTACACCATGTAATAAAGTTCTCGCATTTTCAGATAATTTGTTAGGAATGCTAATTGCGGAATGTGAATGAAATAATCCAGGATGTTTAACAGCAAACCTCTGCAAAAACAAATGTTGAACGTTATTATTATTTATACTAATTGTTGGTGCAGTTGCAATTCCTATAATTATACATACAGTGCCGGTAAGTAACTCATACAAAATAATTCCAAAGCTCCAAATATCTGTGGCAGACGTGACGAGAATGGTCGGGGTAAAGGTCGCCGACTCTGGAGATGAATATGGGTACATCAGTTTTGACAATTCTATATTACGCTGAGGTACGATATAAGTGAGCTTTATGTGGCCCATATCGTCAATAAGAATATTGTCAGGTTTGAAATCGAAAATAAAGACACCCTGTTGATGGAGTGCTTCTAGGGTTGAAAGAATTTCAGCTGACCATGATCGAATTACAGCCTCAGGTACTTGCCAAAGCTCTTGGTCTTCATCAGCATTATTTTCTTTATACATATGCGGATATTGTGTTTCATAAATATTGTAGTAGTTATTTGATGTTGAATGGTTATTTACATTAATGGCACGATTGATGTTTAAAGTATTTGTCTCATTAGAGGTACGTCTAGTATCGTTATTTCTTTTAAGATCTGAATCTCGCGATAACTGAGTAATAATTTTTGCATTCAGCGGTGACATGTTCTCCGAATATTTCAATTCTTTGGATTTGTTTAATCGACTAGCGATAGAATTGCTTCTTCTTAATGTCGCACTTACGGATTGTAACAATTTTTGTGATTTTTCTAACAATTGTATAGTTGGTACCTCCATATTATAGATATCACTCTGTCCATCTGTTAAGCACACATTTTTATCCTGTGACTTATCATTTTCTATAGTTTTATCTGTTTTGCTTAATTTGTGAGTATTTTCGTTGCTATCAAGTTCATTGTTGACATGATTTGCACATGTGTGATTTGAATTCAAACTATTAGATGTTTTATAATGTAGTTTTATAAAATCCCATAATTTTCCACAACTGCAATGTAATGCAAATTATATAAGTAAACTTTGCACAAGTTACATGTACAATTATCATCTCATACCTTATATTTTGTAAGATCAGAAAAACAGTTGTCTCAGTTTCAACACATGCGTATAAATCTACCATGTATGGCACTTGTTTGCATAATACATAGTTATTTATGTTATCCTCGTGAACAGATTTTTCTATAGACTAAATATTATCTCAATTATTTTATTATAAAAAATATAGATATTATAGTCTAATTCTTATTAAGTGATATCAATTTATAATAAAATCAGAATTTATATATAAAAATAAATATATAGTCAAGATTTTTTACCTTTATGATTCTGTTACAATTTGCACGTATGTCTGTTGCAAGCATCACGGATTTCATGATTTTAAGTACTTTGTAGTATTGGAGCTCTGACACAGGTTTACTTACTAATGAGATATTGCAATTTAAGTGTCTATTAAATAACTGTTCAGCCTGTGTTAGATATTTTGATATTTTATCTTTTATACTCGCCGCTCTTGTACTGTCTGGATCTAACTGTACACCAGTTATAAGAGAGGATATCCCCAGTTTGTACTGTGTGAAAGCTTCTTTATATTCTGCTATAGATTCGTGCTTGAAGGCTGCACTCATATGACCAGCAGCTATTAAAATATATTGTGCAGAGTCTGCTTGTGTCATAGAACACATAGAATGAGTAGTGTTGCAATTTGAAAGAGTCTTAATAATATTGTTATTCAGACAGTCAAATCCTGACTCGTCCTGACTTAGTGTTACTCTGTTACTGTCAAGATTTGTATTTCTTATATGTGCATCACAGTCTTGATTAGTAGTATTTTGCTTATATTGCTTCACCATTTTATAGTTTTGTTCATCGTCCTTAATACTTGCATTCTGTAAATCAATGGTATTGTGAGATTCAATTATTCTTGGAGACACAGAAAATTCATTCTCATTTATACAAATATTTGACAGTGTAGAACATGTGTTCGTGAGAACGTTATGAGATGTTTTAGAAAGACATGGCACTTGAAAAGTACTTTGTGCTATGGTATCACTTGTGAGCACAGAATTATTTAAAGCAGCGATACGATCCTCTTCCGATGTATCAGAGCTTATGGAATGTGCACAATCACTATTGCAATTATCCACGTGATTAATTTCAAAAAATGTTATAAAAATATCACTGGAATATAAGTACGAGTATCGTCCTACAAATTCCAGAAATTTAAGGGCATATTTTCTTCTTTCTTCTACAACTTCAGCCTCAAATCTGCCGAAATATTTCGATTTGGGAAAAGTTGGGAAGCTTTCTTTTACTCCTAAACGCTTATGCAGATTACTGAGCTCTGAATGAAGCTTCTTAAAATCATTGTAACGCTTCCATACAGAGACCTTTGATATCTCTTCATGAGAAGAACTCAAGAACACCTGTAAAATATAGAAGATTTAATAATATCGGACTGATATTGTTGTACGATATAAATGATTAAAATTGAGAAAGCAATAACCAATATATTATGTCATGAAGCATAACATCATACCATAGAAGTGACTTTGTAAATTGTGAAGCCCTTTTTATGTCTTGCTGTTTCAGGAATTATAAAACGTCTAATCCATTTGTCTTTTGCGGGTGCCATTGCTTAATTTATACTGACTGATGAGATTCTTATTATTTTAACAATACTGAGATTCTTCGTCTGTCATAATTGTGTCAAATATAAGTGATTGTAAAATCATCTCTTTTTTGTGTTGATTTTTTCGTTTTATCGCACATATTATGCATATGGAACTGATATGCTGATGATACTTATTATTAATATTCTTGAGAGACATAAATTATTTTATATTGTAAGCACGTTTATGAGATTTATAATATATAATATCACATATTCAGATAATGTCACATAAAACTGTACTAGCTACTAATTGTCATCAACTGTCAGTGACAATCGGCCACTCTTTTTATATAATAAACAGTAACAAGAAGGGAATCAGGCTATAATTTCATGCACCGCACGAAAAATAACTTAGATAAGACGATTGGTTGTCGGATAGAGAATTTCTAGAAATTATCTGAGTCAGGGTGCTATTCACGTGTCGTACGACAAGCTTTTCGGATACGTTTATTGGTTGGCGAATAGAGTATTTCTAGGTTCGTCACCAATGAACGTATCCAAAAAGCTTGTACGACACGTGAAATATCAGCCTTATGGCTCCTGCACATAGAACGCGGTAATGCTTGCCGCGCGACGGAAGTCCGCGCGACAGCCAATCAATATGTTGTTTTCCGTAATAACCTTCTAGCTCTTACGGAAAAACAATATATTGATTGGCTGTCGTGCGGACTTCCACCGCGCGGTAAGCATTACCACATCCTATGTGCAGGAGCCATAATCATTCTCTGGACACGGAAGCAGTAGCGTCATCTACTTTGGGCGTGTTTATTTTGTGTTGGCTACCCTGCTCTCCATTAATTTTACAGTTTGCAGCTCCATTCTACTTCTTTGTTGTTCATCCTTGGTGAGAGAACGCGTTTAAAGATGGTTAGTCGATATGTAAAATAATAATCCACATTTATTTAAAACATCAACATTTAAAGTACTATGGTTATTTGATAAAAGCTTTGTGATTACTATGATTAAATCAATGAACTGTGGCTTTTTTATTCAATCCTTCTAACAAGAAATATTACGTAGCATAACCTATTATTCAATTTGCATCATGAAACACCGACAGTGTGATAATTGATAAATTACGAATTGGGTGGAAAATAAAAAATTGTATTCTATGCAGCGATTTTCTTTCAGATAAATTTAAACAATTAGTGTTATGATTAAGTTAATAATGCGTATATAGTATAATTTTCACTGATACCCAACATGTATAGTATGTACTTAACATCTGTATTTTTACCATTTTTTAGGCAAAAGTAAAGTGTTCTGAATTAAGAACCAAAGATAAAAAGGAGCTGCTTAAGCAGCTTGAGCAGTTGAAAACAGAATTGACTACTTTGAGGGTGGCTAAAGTGACTGGAGGAGCTGCTTCAAAATTATCCAAGATGTAAGTTCTTAATATCACCAATATCATAATTTATTGTTGCATTGTATCTTATGTAATGTTTATTAGTTTATAGATGTTATCTATTGTGATTAAACATATTTCAGTGTTTAAAATTAATTCTTAATTTAAAATATCTAAATTATATTAATGGAATGTTATTTTTTGTTATACTAGATAGTATCTAGATGTTATCTAGATAGTATTTCTAAACTAATTGTACATTATACAATATAAATTCTAATAAATTATAAAATTCTATAAATTATAATTTTTTTTTACAGTCGTGTTGTGAGGAAAGCTATCGCGCGTGTGTACATTATTATGCACCAGAAGCAGAAAGAAAATCTTCGCTTATTCTATAAGAACAAAAAGTACAAGCCCCTTGACTTAAGGCCCAAGAAAACCAGGGCTTTGCGCCGTGTTCTTACACCATACCAGGCTAGCAGGAAAACATTAAAGGAGATACGCAAGCGTTCTGCATTCCCACAGAGGAAGTATGCTTTGAAGGTGTAACATGTACATCTTTAATATGCAAAATAAAAATTTCCTAAAATATCAAGTGATTAATTATTAAAAGAAAAACATGATACTCTCATAAATTTAGAGAAGTTTTAAGCACCTAGGTATAATGGAAAAATTCAATCTGCAAAACTATTCAAGGCACTGTATATTTATAAAGTAATCCTTCTGACAAACTTTTTTCACGCTATCATTTTCAAGAAATTGATACACAAGTTTAGAAAAGATTTAAAAGTTTTTTTTTTATATACAGATATTACGGTCTATTGTATAAGCTAATATGTATGTATAATGTTACATAAATATGATATTTTATTATAACAAATGTTAAAATGAATTTATATTATTCACGATTATACGGTAATAAGCTTTCCTGAGCACCATGGACACGGATGGAAGTTAGGTTCAGTAATACATATATCTTTACAGTCTTTGATTTCTGTTAGAAGATCAAGGATCTGTGATGTCGTTTTATCTTCAATCAAATGTAATTCTGCATTCTCTTGCTCATTAATATCATCATCATTTGGGATTACAGGATTAATAACGTGTATATCTGTAAAGAATAATATATAAGTATATATCCATTATACTTATTTCTTTATTTTATATATAATGAAGGAAAAATTTTAGAAATTGTATATTGAAAAGTTTCATATGATGAGAGAGATACACACACACATACTTACCCTTATATAATTGAACACAAGATTCTGTAGGATGTTTTTTAAGCATTTCAGTAATCAATATTTTTAGCTTGTGTAATTGTTCTTGTTGCTGATGACATTGCTCCACTAATTGACGGAAAGTTTCTTCTCTCTCTTTCCATTTATTTCTTAGAATTTCTCTTTGTTTTTGATACAAAGTGATGTATTCTCCTATATAAATATACTTAGATAATCAGATATTCCAATTTTATAGATTATTAATTTATAGATTATTAATATTTATAACTTGTAAATGATTTAAAAAGAGTTTAACTGTATGTATATATACAACTGTATATATATACAACTGTATATATATATAACTGTATGTATATGTACATATTTTGATATATGCAAAATTTAATATAATGATTTTGTGCATATGTTTATATACACACACACACACACACACACACACACACACACATATATATATATATATATATGATATGATATGATATGATATATGATATGATATGATATGATATGATATGAATGTTAAGATAAGTTAATTAACAGACTATGTAAAATTAATTGTAAGATATAATCATGTATTACAATAATACCCAAGTTTGATTACTCTAGATAAGTTTGCAGTTAAAAATAGTACAGCTTACCTATAGTTTCGGTTTCACCTTGAAGTTGGAGGACCAAATGTTCCAGTTTTTGTTTTTCATCAGTTAATTCAGCGACTTTTTCCATTGCCTCTTTAAACTTTTTTTCTAATTTTGTAATAGGCCCAGAATCACCCAAAGTATTTTTATCTTCTGGCAGTGGTAAACTTTGCGTTGTTATTATATCATCACCATTTTCCATTATTCTTGTCATATATTGATCTCCATTAACATTTACAGATATTTTTGGCAAAACTGTCCCTTCTTGTACTTTCGCTTCTAATTTCTTTACGAGTTCTTCATTTTCCTTTTTTAATTCTTCTATAGAAATCTGTACATTTTTTAGATATAAGTTACAATTGTTACACAAAATTCCAATAATTAATGGCAATTAATTAATAACACGTCATGAATTATATCGTCGTTAAGCTTAAAAAATTATAGATTAAAAAATTATCAATTTATTTAAACAAGTTCGCAGAGTACCAAAGCATTTTGTAGTTCTTGTTGTAATGTATGAGCATGGTGAGACTGAGCTTGATAGTGTTGCATCTGATCTGTAATTTGAGCATTCTGTAATTTTTCTTTTTCTAATTCCATCAAACATGTTTCCTTCTCCTTTAATTTCTCTCTCAAATTATCCACATTTGTCTCAACAATATTCAATTTTGCATTTAATTTTCTGCCAATACTTCGTTCAGCTTGAAGCTGTTCTGTTAAATCTAACTTAGCATTACTCTGGAAAAAAATAATTATTATATATAATTCTATTAAAAAACTAAAGAGAGAGAGATACAAGTTTGTTTAATAACATAATAAAAACGAATTATTCAATATTATATCAATCAATGATCACATAGGTATGTATAACTTACAAGTGTAACAAAAGCATTTTCCATCTCAGTTAATTGTTGTTTCAACTGTTGGTTTTGTAAAACGGCCCTAGATGCACCAAGTTTTTCACTTTCTAGAGCTTGCACCAATTTTGTTGCATCCGCTTCATTATCTTTTGTATCTCGTAGTTCTTGCACTTCCCTCATTAACATTTCAATTTGCGAATCCTGAAAACGTTATATTATCGACAAATATTTCTTTCTATAAATTTTTAAGTTATTATTTACAATGAATAAGTTTACCTTTTCAGATAATGCAGCATGAAGTCTTTCTTGTTGCGAAGTTAACCCTTTAATATTTTTCATTAAGCTATTTACATCATCATTACGTTCTTGCAATGGTAGTAAAGCTTCATTTTTCTCTTTTTCATGTTGCAATTGTTGTTCTAAATCCGACAAACGTTGCACATAACTTTTCTCTCTATTTTCGAAATCATTGATTATTTTTCTCTCATTTTCAAGCTGTAATTATTCAATATATATATTATATATAATATATATTATTATATATAATTTAAAAATTCTACGAATTTTTTCTACAAATAAAAAATAATATAATAAATATTTTAATACTTCATTAAGCAGTTTTGCTTGTTGTGCATCCAATTGTCGCACATAATTCTGATACTGTCTGCTAGCTTCATCCTTTTCATTATTTACCAATTTTAAAGTCTCTCTCATTTGAGCCAACTGTTGCTCCAATACTGTTACAGCTTGATGCTGAGATTCTAATGTTTGTGATGTATCAGTTAACTATAATTAAATTATTTGTCAAATGCAGAATTTAATATTATAATCATTAATTATTGTATAGGATTATTGTATAGAATTAATTCGTATAGGATTACCTGTTGTATCCTCAATTCATTTAATGAAAGTAAGGCTGCTTTCTCTTGAAATTCCTGCTGCAAACTGATGAATTCAGTATTTTTTAAATTCAGCTTCTGTTTTAATTCTGACGTTTCTAATTCCATGTCTTCCTTTTCTTTTCTATAAATAAAATGACTCTTTTGTAATATTAATGCGTTATTTTATTATTATCATTATTTATTTCTTTTAACATCAAATAATTACAATATTATAATGTAATACTTATGTATAGTACCTGAGTTCGTAATACTTCTTTTCAAGGTCGTCATAGATTTGTTGTACTTGGTGAGCATTTTTTTGACTGTCATTAGAATTACTTCTGGTTTGGACCAATTCTTTTTCGAGTTCATTAATACGGAGTTGACTGTGTTTCAGTTTTCCACTCATTTCTTCTAATTCCTCTAAATATTACAAGATGCAATTATCACAATGTTGTGAGTGTGTGTTGAAATATTTATGAAATAAATTCTATACATTCACAGATATCTCTTTTATATGCATACTTATTAACCTGAATTTTGTTTTGCAGTTTTCTGACTTTGTGTCAAAGCTGCTGTCAGTTCTGCTTTTTCTGCTATTAAAATACCAGTAGTTTGTGCATGAACCTGTAATTGTTCCTTTAAAGGATTTACCTCACGGATAAGCCTAGCTTCAAATTCAGAATCTTTTGTAGCTAAAATTTCTTCTAACTCAGTCACTCTGCTATGCTATTTTATTTTAATAAAAAATAATATTAGTACATAATATAATATACAACAGAGTTGCAGTGAATTCAACTATACTCACGTAACAACTGATTCGAACGTGTAAATCATTTACAAGCTGTTTCTGTTCTTCCAGATAAGTATTTACAAATTGATAGCGACATTTTGCATCCAGGTTATCTAGAGTGGATTCATTATCATCTGTATCATCAGTTAATATATTAGCAACTTCTGAAGCCATTTCTAATAAATGTTCCTTCTGTACTGTTGATGGTCCATTAGATGGCGTAATATTTAATTTATATTTTCCATCATTTTCCTTAAACTGTAAATCAGCTTGAAGACATGGATGTGTGGCATTTTTATCACTACTTTCATATGTATTTTCTTCTGAACAATATTCTAAAACTGAGTTCTTTTCTGTTATTTGACTGTTATTTGTTGCTGTTTTAATTTCAGTTGTGTCTACTAAGTTATTAGTATCACTAACAGCATTGAATATACTTTCTTCTTTATATATAGCATTTATATCATCCATGTGCTTCTCAGAGTGTAAAAAATTTTCTGTGTGTTTTGTTTCATTCTGATTACAAGATTTATCCGTCTCTATGCTTTGGTAATTTGTTTGGCACTGTTAAAAAATTCTTTTATTTAGCATATCGTTGATATATCAAAATCTAGACTTTAATTATATCAATTATATCAATTATATTAATTATATCAATTATATTTTATGTGTGTGCGTATAGTAAATATAAATTAATATTACGATAGTTTTAAAATAAGTTCATTTTAACTTAGATTGTAACATATATAAAAAAAATTATTTATGTGTATTATCAAGTAATTACCCGTGATATAGATTCATCTACTACATCTGCATTTTGTGGTTTGTTTGAGGCCTCTTGTGCTTGCAATCTTTTTTGAAGTTGGAATTCTTTTAACTGCAATAAGAATCATATAAAGTGATAATTTTATTGATATAAATTCTATTTTAATTAAGATTTAAATTAAAATAGAAATATAAAAAATGAATTGTATATCACATTCTAATAATTCGCAAAAGTTATATATAAAATTTTTTAATATATTTATATATTAAACTAATATTTATTTATTATTTATTTTGCATCACATGATTACTCAGTTTGGATTATTAAAAGATTTAAAAAAAATTTGTGTCAATTTTGCATAATATAGATATTATTATCAAAGGACAACATTATATAAAAATCAACATTTAGTTAAAACATGTTTATTGCCGCATATTAGTTATTAGATAATTCGTACACTAATTATATTCAGATGCACAAGTGTTTTGCAAACTGTCAATGATGTCAAAATGTCAGTGTTACATTACCTTTTTCTTAGCAGCTAACAGTTTCTCTGTTTTACTTAGATTCATCGTGCGAGTTTTCGTTGCACAATACTCGTCAAGCGTTACGTCGTATGCAAAATTCTAGAAACACTTTACATCGTCAAAGATGGAAAATATTGTAAAGATAACGTCAAGTCAGCGGAGGCTATACCACACGTCTACGTGTAACCACATAATCGCACAACGTTTCAGCAGAGGAAGGCTGAGAGTAGCCACGATGCTTGAAATCGCACAACTGTTTAATACGCCATCTGCACTCATTTTTAAGTTCGAATTATTTCGCTACGCTCATTTTCTAGCCCTGTCGATAAAATCTCCGTTTGGTGTGTGTCCATGCTATGCCCATAATTATCGGCAGTACCAGAGAAAATGGGCGTAGCGAAATAGTTCTAATTTAAAGATGGATGTATAGATGACGCAAATAGTTGTGCAAACTAGAATGTAACTCTAGTGCAAATTATATTAGACGAAACGCTGTTGCCGCGCTCTCGGTCTTTTTTTTTGTGATATAATAATAACAGTGCCGACTTTCAAGTGATAAATAAATGTCATTTCCTCTGTTATCTTATACACATGTGATTAAAGCGCATTACTTATATTAAGTTTCTTTAATCATGAGTGCACAAAATCAGTTGCCCAATCTTGATAAAATCTTTCGAGATGATGACGAACCCGATTTTGTACCCTCAGGAGGGTGTGTATTAATTTATATTACTGGATATAACTTTGCAGAGAGAAAGAGAGAGAGAGAGAGAGCACATTTATTAATTAATAACAAACTTATTTCTCGTAATTATATTTTCTGCATTTTATATCTTTCTTTTTATAAGTATATATTTACTTTGTTTTAAACGTATATGGTGTACATATGTAAAATAAACATTGTCAAATGTTATCCTCCTAATTTAATTATTTAATGAGTAGTCGTTTAAATTACTATTTTTAATAAAGTTGAATTAGTTTTTTATTTTGACAATTTTAATTTTGCATAATAACAAATTTATATTTTATTGTCAGATATACTGCAACTTTTGCATTTTTAGGTCCAATTTGGCTGCTATCTTTGGACTACAATCAAAAGTTGGAGATCCTCATGTTGTTAAGCAAACAGCCTCTAAGAAGAGTAATACTCGATATAATATACAACAAACTACATCATCACCTTCTAAAACAGAAGTTCTGATTGCTAAAGCTATACATGCCTTTAAATTGTAATCATATTGAACTATTAAGAGTACTATTTATTCTTATCTAATTGATATAGTAATATGTGTGATTAAAATCTTATAATATTTATGTTTTATATGTTCAAGTGTGTAATAGTAAATCTAATTGTATTTTAGGCAAAAGGGTCGATATGTCTCTATGAAAAAGCTTGGTATGGCATTAATAGGCAATGTAACAACGAGAGTATACCAAATAATTTTATACAAGAACAAACAAGAATATATATCTGTTGCTACAGTGACACGTGACTTTGTATATACTGTACAAGCAAATAATTACAGCAGTTATTATGATGACAACAAAGAAAATTGGTCGATCTTATTTGAGAATAATGAGAGTTATCTAGAGTTTGTGACAGAAGTGGGATTGTCACGTTATTTCGCAGTGCAAAAGAAAGGAGAGGATGTGATTTATCAAGATTTGATGCCAAGTGATACAGATGTAATTGCGAAAGAAGGAGACAACATATGCATTAAATATTTTGTAGGAACTGAGATAGTACAACCTTTTAAAACAAACTTTGCAATGTTGCAAACAATGACAGTAGAGATATCAACGGACAATAATTGGGAGAGAAGTCTTTTAGGCAGTGGCAAGGGACTAAAGAGAGTTTTATTTTTACCTCCTAATAAACAGGTATTTCAGCAAATCTCTGTGAAACACAATATATGGCAACAAAATTGTTCATTAAATAATTTTACATAGATTAGTTTAGGTCCTGGCTTTCCTAAAGAGAGAGATATTATGTTGATAATAGAGATAACTGATATACAAGTGCCAGAAGATAATTCGTTCATACCCAATGTTTCAACTAGTGGAAAAGCTTCCATAATTTCGAGAATGGCTAAAATGGGTCAATCTATTCTACCAAAAATTCCTGTACCTTTGACCACGGATTCGGAAGACACTGAGGTTTATTATTCTGCTTATTACTGATAATATATATCCATAAATCTGATAATTACAGTTCAAAATATATTGTGTTAATCTGTTGATACTTTTTTGTAGGATGATGTACCTCATAAGTCTCCTCGTCACAAAAAGGTTGGTTATAGTTTATAGACTCTTCGTGGGAGCAAATTTTCTATTTTGTAAAAATAATATATATTGTGTTAGATTGATCAAGCAGAAGCAGTTTTGCAGAACAAGAACTCGTTGCACGAACAAACGGAAGAGAAGAAAAGCAACGCTCAGAAAGTTACGGGACCGGAAGCAGAAGTGCCTTCAGTAGTTTCTAATACTTATAAGCCATTAGTTGCTGCACCTCCACTGACTTCGCAATGGACACCACCATATTTCCCCGTATATATTAGCAGTTAAATATTCAATAAATATTTCGAGAAATATTATAATGCGACATGCAGATTTAAGAAATAAAAATGGGTGAAATTACAGGGACATTATGTAGCAATGGACAATCAGATGTATCCTGTACCACAGACTGTAAATCGTACAGTACCAGCTGCTCTAGATCCTGGAATCAATGTGTTACTATCGGAAAATAGAATAACAAATGCGGAAATACGAATGGGAATGTCCAAGATATCCGATAATGTCCAGAAACTACTGGATAAGGTATGCATGTGAATAAAGTGACAATAACATATTTGTTATAAAAATATTACGTGTGTAGTTTCATGCACTCGAGCTTCAAAATGCAACAACACCTACGAGCGATAAAGCGACGTTGGATGCTTCTTGGAGAATGTTTTTAGCTTTCAATGCATCTCGAACAGGAGCGAACGACAATGAATTGCCAAAGAATACTGATAAAGATACGACCAACGAGAAAATTCAAGAGTTACAAAGTAGAATAAGCACTTTAGAAAATGAGTTGGAAAAGTCCAAAGGTGATAACTAAAATCCGAAATACTATTCAAACAGCAACTGTGTGTTACATTCTCTTTAATTTATAAATATAAATTTAATAATTTATTAATCTTTTCTATTATAGGAGAAAAGGAATCATTATTGCAAGCCAATGAAAATTTAGATAAAAAGATTCAAGAGTTGAAAACAAGGTTAACTGATACAAATAATGATCTGAAAATGACTGAAGAGGATTTAGATAAAGCTCAAAATATTATTAGACAATATAAAGAAATAAATGTTAGTTTAGAAAATATACTTTCTCTGTCTAGGCAAGAGAACATTTTTCAGGCAAAATTCAGACAGAAAGATGTAATGATTATATTTTTCAATATTGTTCATATATGTTTATTTATAACATTTCAATGTTATTTCACTCACATATCATTATTATTGACATATTGATATATTATGTTTGTTTTACAGATTGAGAATAAAAATAAAGAAATAAAGCAAATAATGAACAAAACATATCATATATTATTAGAAAAACTTGCGGATAAATCACATTCCAATCTGTCATTTGATTATGTAAAATCCATTATTGCAAATACAATAAAGGTAAGAAACGTATATGTGATGCATACGACAAATGCAAATATTATATTATGCATATATTATGAAAATATTCTAATCAAAATTTTGCACTTAGCATATCACTTTGCAAGTGCTGAATGAAGAGCCTGGTAAAGATGATGAAAATTCTGAAGTAAGTAAGACTGTAAATTCCACAGTTTCCAATATTGTTGGGGAACATACTCAGAAAGCAGTATTAAACGTAGAGAATGCTGATAATATCCCGGTAAAATCCATGGAAACTTCAAGATCTACTACAGTAATCACATTTTATTGTTTAGAGCAACGCAAGTAAAAAGGAAACTTGCGTTACTTACATACATGTTCCTATGATAATAACTTTTTTCTAAGATTACATTTTTTCATTCTAGATCATGCCTGTCTTTGAAAACGAACCGCCCCCCGTTCCACTTGACGATATCGATGAAACTGATACCGAATGATTGATTAATTGCGATACAAGCTGATTTTTTAATTTGTCACATATATCTAATATATTGCATATTTCTGTTATATTCTTAACAAGTTTGTATAGTGTAATTCTTTATATAAGTCAGATATATTAATAAAGAGTATTTTTATTATAAATTGAATATTTTCTATTATATGATCTTATATATGTTATTCGTTATTGTAATCTTTTAACAATACACAGAAAACTAAATAAAATAATACATAGAAAATGTTTAATAATTTTGGATCGTGGATCAGAAATATGAAAGGTATGTGATTTTGCGAGGAATTGTTAAAATTTTTTGTTGTTCACAAATCTTGTTTAAAGTAAGATATGTAAAATTATAAAATTTTCTATGGAACAAGAACATTATTTATTTAAATATAAGTTGTTTACTTGTTTATAAAAATAATACTTATTGTTTATTAATGTACGACAAACTAACCTCCGTTTTGATTTGTTTCATTTGGGCTATTAAATTTTTTATATTTTTTGCCCTGTAAAAAAAGGAAATGATGATAATCTGAAATTTTAAAATATCATACGAATAACTGTATTAAATAATCACACATACATTTGGCCAAGGTTTTCCTTTATCGTTTCCTCTTGATTACGTGTGAAGACAATTTCTTTCTTTTTCTCATTGGATTCGGTGACATCTGCATGCACAGTTTGTTGAGCAGATTTTTTCTTGAGTTGTTCAAGTCGGATTTTCATGCTGTGCATTTTCATGTCCATCTTTTTCAATTCTTCCGCCTCTGCTCGTTCGACAGCTGTCAGAAAGGGTTCCTTGTAATTTACCAGTCGTAAAACTTCTTCTGCCCTAAAAGTATAATAATTTATAAATGTTACTTGTGCAACAACTTAGTAAAATATTGTGTGCTTTATTTTCATTTTTTAAATATCAATAATATTACATTTATCTGAGGCGGTGGCTACTTAAATGTCGTCTAAGTATATAATGAAACAATTATCACTCACCTACATGCTAATTTTTTTTGTTCGTCATTGATCTCTTCGTATCGCTCGGCTAAACGCTCCGCGGTTTCTCGCAATTCTTTCTTTGTTTTCGTTAAAACATCGAGTTCCTTTAATAGATGGATTTTCAAAACTTTCAAAGCATGTACTTTCTTGTTGATTTCTTCCCGAACTTTGTCGTGTCGAACGAAGTGTTGGGTACGAAATATATTTGTAGCGTGATACAAAAGCTGAAACGTCAAAAAAATCATTTTCGATTGTTATAATTGCAGAATTTAATTATAAACTTTCTATGCACCTAATAATTTTTATAAATATTAATTTGTAATTATTGCAATCGATTCATGTAATATCCTCGTATCTTACCTCTAAACGCTCGCTTAAAGACATCGAGCGAGATCCTATTTTAGTTATGGGTTGCGATATGTCGCGTTTTAACAATTTTTTTATGTATGCGTCGAACGACTCCTTGTTTACCTTAAAAGGAAGAACCAGTATACTTCATTACAAACTACATTATCATTCAGTAACTAATACTTTCGAAATCATTATTTCATTTTGAAAAAGAAATTTGTTTATTGAAATTCTTAAAATAATTCTAGAAATATCTTTTAAATATAAGAACGGAGATAAACTTTTTTTCGCAAGTATTTCAGGATGAAAGCACTGTAATCCTTACATAGAGAATAATATTGCAATATAATACGTACTGTTTTCATAGTGTTGGCGATAGGTTCGAGTTGCTTCGCTATTGGAAGATAATGCAGATCTATGACCGAAAGATCGACGACAACACCTGTGTGCAGCAATGCGACTAAAACGCAGGGTTCTTGAAGGAGACCGAAACCGAATATTGGTGTAGCTTCGTCTACACTGGTGTGTTTAGTTCTTGTGGAAAATAAGTATTGCAAAGTCGATTGGTTCGACAAAGAAGGTAAGTCACTATCATTTTTATCTAGAAAAAAGTAAAATTTTAATTAAATAAAAAATAGAAATATATATAATAATATATATTCTCTATATTCTAGAGATGCTGAAATAGAATTCTTCAATTTTATCCTTTTACACATCTCACTTTGCATTTTGCTTTTATACTTAACAAGCAATAGATTAACCAGTGATTTTTATTGTCAGTAGAAACAAATATAAAAATCTATTTACTTAAATTGACATGTATAAAAAGAGCTTTTATATAAGTTCATAACTTGTGATAACTTTATCGTAAATGTTGTAGGATAAAGAATATAAGTTTTGCTTTTATATCATTTACTTAGTAACATAAATTTACTTGCCATTAGGTACGTTTATAAATTCCTCCAGTTGAGAAACCATCGGCAGACTCACCATGTGAATCCCGGCGTTATGCGAACAAAAGTATCTGGTACAAATAAGCGGTAATAATTAAATTATAACTAGTAAATAATCAGTTAATAATAACACAAATATAACACAAAAAGGAATTATCGTTATTTTGTCGAGAGAGAAAAAATAAATTTTTGTTCAATAAGCTATTCGTAGATGATAGAAATTGCGAAAATTTTGGAGCGTCCTCACACTTATATTTTGCATACATATTTATATTCTGCACGAACATTCTTTCTAATTAATACCTCGATTTGTTGCCCTTATCGCCGTGAAGATAAATGGTACAATTGTATTTTTTATCATCGTCCGTGAAGAGGAGACCCAGTTCCAGTTCGACACATTCATAAACGTAGAGCGCATCGTCCGGCGTGTGAAGACTATAGTTTGAGCCATACTGTGACCAAGTCTGAAGAAAAGAATTTATCATATGATAAAAAGAAGAGAACGTAGAATTTATGTTCATAATGAGATATGTAGTTGAAAAGTCTTTTCTTTTAAAATATAAAAGTTAACACGCTGCTACGAGCGAAACTACGTCCCATCATCGACTGACAAGCAAAAACGTAACGAAAAACCTGCGTGATTTATACTTGACGGGAACACTTTGTATTAGTATTCATGGATGAATGTATCAGAACATAAATATATGTTTCGTTACGTCGATATTTGTCGTATACCATACCTTTCTGTCGTCATCGTCATCGTCCAGTATTTCGTGCAGTAGTATCGCATGATAAATCTTTCCGGTGCACATGGCGATGACTACTATCGGCGGAGTAGTTTGCAGGCACATGATAGAGCATGAATCTATCCCGTAATTATCGTCACTCGGCGGATACATAGACAACGAGCCTAGCACTATCGGATTCTCATAGCTGGCAACACGATTAAAGTATCGTAATTGAGAATAGAAAAGAAAATATCGCACCTCTTGTCATCCATATCATAAATAGTATACATTTGTTTGAGTTCATTAATAAGATTAATATAGTGTTATCCCTTGTCGCAAAAGATCATATATCTGATAATTATATTATATAAATTTAATCTAAAAGACACTTTGCTCATACTTCTCCAACAAGATGTTCCCGCGAACGATCAGTACTTCGCCGTTTCCTCGAAGGATCAGGATCGGCCATTCGATCTGATTCCAGTCGATGACATTTTTCACCTAAAAATTGAGAACGTTTTGCATTCTAATATTGGATTACCGCTATCAACTCGAAGGTAATCAACTCGACATATGAAACGTTACGGACGGAGTAAGACCTGTATTAGTAGTTGTTACTTGAAACTAGTTTCAAATAATAGAGATATTCAGGTTTAAATTTAGAGTTAGGTTTGAGTTTTTTTACTCGAACCGCGATTAAAGTTGTAATATCGCATATATTATTCAAATGAAACATTCAAATCTAACTCTAAACTCAGATCTGAATATCTCATGTGAGACAAATTTCAAGACCATGGCCATTAATAGTCATTACTTGAAACTTATTTCAAATAAGATATTCAGATTTTAACTTAGAATTAGATGCGAATTTTTCAGCTAAATTACAATTACACCCAAAATATAATATAAACGTATATGATCTAATTGAAAACTTAGATCCAATTTTAAATTTAGATCTGAGTATCTCACCTGAGACAAGTTTTAAGTAACGATTATTGATATTCATTATTGATACTGGCCTAAGAATCTTTTCGGAAAGATCTCTTCACATTCTCTTACTAACTTATGGACGCGAAAGCTCGTCGAAGATTCATACCTCGTCGATGCTTTTGTCGGCGAACAATTCCGATTTCTTCAAGGTAGGAGTGGCGAAATCAAAGTCCACCGCGATTTCGCCGAGGGACGTGAAGTCCGGGATCTTCTTGGGTGAGCTTGACGGCGCGCGGCCGACTTTCCAGCATTTCACGAGTCTGGGTGCGCCGCCCAACTCGCATTCGTACAAACTGCGGTGAAGTTAAATGCAGCTTAAGGTCAGTGGTCCGACGACGTTTTTTAAAGACGCTTCGGCGCGTAAAGCTCGCGGAAATTTAGTTCGCGGAGCGTTTTTCTTACTTTTAAGCCCTATCTAACGCGAAGAGTTTAAGCGCGCGCGCTTAAGTTATGTTGCGCGCGATTCTTCGCGGTGGTTTCGCAAGTTTTCCGTAATTATAACTGCAAAAGATGTTGACTTTCGCGACTGAAAGAACACAGTGCTTTTGTCTCAAGAACGATCGACGGTATGATTGGAACAGGGTGATGTGCGATTTCGATGTTTCTCTCGTTGAGCGAGAGATCCGTGCAAGACGAAAAATAAAGATATTTCAGTTGATATCAGTTGATATCACTGAACCAAATCACATGATTGCTTTATAATTACCGGAAGGAATTCTCAGATGTTAAAACCAGTAAGTGCGAGTCACTTGTCGAGCCTGGATGCCATCGCACGCGTTGAATTTCTGTGGTTGCTCCGAAGTCGCCAAAGTTGTGGTTTCTGAAATCAGAAAGGTAATACGATCTACCGTGTTCCGTTTGTTGCGCCAATCTTGTCAACAAGACCGAGTCATACGAGATTACAGCTTTTTTACAGAATAATTGAAGGATGGTCTAAACTGGAGAAAATGTCAGATCAAGTGTCATCCCGATGAAGTCTTGGGAGGAGCGTAAACTTTGCATCTACATCAGACGCAGATACTGTTGAGTGGGGGAGTTTCTTGTTTAATTAATTAGAAAATACAAAATTATTGTAAAACGAACGTTAAGAGCACAGTTGGTTGTACGTGATTACAACGAGAGGAACGTGGTCGAGGTGTTATGAATGTGAGACATCGATCCAAGTTGGATTCGCTCCTAAGCAAGGAGAGACGCGTTCGGCCGCGTGGATGAGCATTAATGGCTTTATAATCTAATGAATTTTTAGGTTAAGCGTCGGGAAGGATGAGCAGAAAATCCAGATAGGTTTTTCCCCGGGATTTATTGCCGAGAAAGAAAAGACGAGGGCACGGGGAGAGCGTTCGCCGCTTATCTCTCGCTTGTCTGTGCCTTTCGACCGATGGGTGTAACCACCGAATCACATCACCAAATTTATTTCCACCGCGGCAATAATAATTATATATTATGACTCTGGAGAAACACTCAGATCGTATGAGAGCTTTCCAGTTAATTCATTCTACACATACTACTTCGCATTTTTTATTATATAATTTTTCACTCCTTCAAAATATTTTCTCGTCGAGAAACCCATTCTTTTGATATCAGGTGCGCTTCCACATACATTCCCCGTGATATCACCTTTCAAAGGAGCGACAATTACATTTGCAGAAATATACTACTGTCAAAGCGTCATTACTGCTCTTGCGCTGCTTTAGGGGATGATTCTCTGGACTTTACAAATTCCCGATATTCCTTCCGGGGACACTGCGCGCTTCGCTTGGTTAGTCCCAATGCGTAGAGTTCATAATCTTCCGCGCTCTACGTGGACGCCGTTATTTCGTTCGTCCATTTACGGGAAAAAATGACGAAATTCGTCCCGGAATCTTAAATGAGAAGGTGGACGAGGCTATGACGGGAGCGGCGGTGACTTAAACGCAATAACGAGTAATACGCAGGGAAGTTCCTAGAATAAAATGATACGACACCGTGTAAGATCTACTTTGAAGTCAGGTCCGTGCCGTTCTTTGTACAAATTGCGAGAAAAGCGTGGCGCAAAAAGCTCCGGCCACCGCCACCGGGGTTAATACGTTTACGTAGGAAAATTATTTTTAATTTTTCTAGACGTGCGCCGGACGGAAGAGAGAGAAAGAGAGGGAGAGAAAGAGAGAGAGAAACCGAGGAAGCGGGGTGAGGTCGAGACACGAGGGTGTGGCAGAATGCGCGGCACTGCCGTGTAAGAATTTCTTAATTAGATTCGAGCAGCTGCGCGACCTCTCATTCTTTTGTTTTCGGCGAGAAATTTCCGGTAAGTCGCGATGGCGATACCTGGTCCAGGCCACGCTCGTCACCGAGAGAATTCAAGCTTTATTAGATATTTTTATTGGCTCCTGATTTGAGAAAAACTCCGCTCTTACAAGCTGTTAAAGAACTCATAAATCACGCGCTTGTCTCCTCTTTTTAGAATGATTTTGGACTTTGCGATCTATTGACATTTTTGGGCAATCGTCGTTCCTAAATGTAACCGTAACAGAAGATGAAGACCAAAGAAATACTTGAACAACGTTGGCATCCTTTCCTTGGCCGATTTATTTTTCAAGAACGTGATTAGGGCCTCGAGAAAGGGTCTAGTTCAATATGTTTTCGTTTCACAATCGTGTGATCCACGAATTTGAATAGATCCTAGACAGTGATATCTATCCTTATTTAATATAACCGAGAGCAAAAATGGATATTTATGGCAGCCTCTCTTCGGATCTTTTTTCGGCGGCAGCGCCAACAAATATCGAATACGCGAGTGAGAGGGGTTGCGTGAGCGCGCGCCCTTAAATGCGTTGGTCCTGTTGCCATTCATTTTATTTAGGAATATTCAGCGCCATCGAACGAAAGCATCTCCGTGGGCAAGCCGAGGTAATCAAGGCAGCTTAATACCTATCAGAACACGCGCGTGTGCACGCGTGGAGCGCGGGCGCGAGCGCGAGTGAAGGGGTAGGCATAAATTCTGATAATTCCGAAATTGTGACAGAACGAAGAAAAATTCCCGGGAGAGGTCGCGGTGAAAAGTGCGAATAAATCGTTGCGTATGCCTTTGTCAACGAAACGGCGAGTCAGGCGGACGTGGGAGGGTTGGAGTCCGCGATGATGGGGTGAGAGAGAGAAAAGAGAGAGAGGGGAGAGAGAGAGAGAGGGGAGAAGGGAAACAGGGAGGGAGGGGGAGAGAGAGAGAGAGCCACCACCACTATGTCTGGCTCTTTTTTTCGCCCCCGCTGTCCTCCCGTGTGTCTCTCCATCTCTTCACTCCACACCCTGCCATCCTCTCTCTGTCTCTCTGCCGGTTTCCCATCCTCCTGCCTCCCGGCCTTCCTCTTTACCGGTGCGTGCGTACATTTTTATCAATTATTAAGAACTCCTGGCGCTTGTGTGCCGGTGGTGGCCGTGTCGCCGTTCTGCGCGGGACGTATGTACAGGGTGTCGCGGGGGTGGAGAAGCGAGGGGCTGTATCCCGGAGACCGTAGCGTGGTGGTGATACCCGATGCCCGCTATCTTTTTCTCCCCGGGCGCGGGCCTTTTGCTCGCTTTTTCTGGCATGCCGCGGACATTAATAACGGCCACGGGCTAACCACCGCCGTCAACCAACCCCCCTGCCAACGTTACCGTGTCCAGCCGCGGAAAGTGCGAGAGTAATAATAAAATATACGAAATGTAGGCGAGAGCACATCGTTGTGCGCGGAGCGCGCGAGAGCAACGGCGGCGGCGGCCGCCGCCGCACCGAGGCCGACAAAACAAACGTCGCGACGTTACGGTGTACCTTTCATTGTCCGCGAAGGTACGCGGATCTCCTCGCGTTATAATAATTTAGAGCGACGCTGCGAGAGCCGCGCGGGCCCTGATTTTAGCTTAATAGAACGCAGCCGCGCCCGCTTCGGCCGGCCGCGCTGTATCCGCGTGTTTCTGCCGAGATTGTCATTATTCTCTTCGCGCCCCGGGTATTTCGCCCTCGAGGACACAGAATTACGACGATTTGTAGCGGACGCGCGGAATACGCACTTAATTCGATCATTTGGAGGATACTCGCGACGTCGTTTTCACAGCGTGTGTCGCTTCGGCTGATTCTTCATGCGGCTCGTTTGCGTCACTTGACTCTGCGAAATTATCGTTTGAAAAATTGTCCGACCGAATTGTTTCTGGGGGTCTACACAAGAAAGGAAGGATTCGCACAACCCGGGAACACTTTGTTCGGGTTGCTTTAGGTGCTGGGTGACGATCCCCCAAAAAATGAATGAGAAGCGATGATGAAAAATACTGCCACTCAAAATCGCAACATGAAGAATGTTTGATTCAGGCTTAGAGCGAATTTTTAATCTTAAAAGTGAAGGTTTCAATGGATCAGAAAGAAATTGTTCCTGTGACGGTGGAATACATCAGATTCACTGTGCAATTTCGAATAAAAATATTTACTCGACGATTCAAGATGGATAATTAATTTTACACGAATGCACAGTTACTCGAGAATTCGAGGAACTCGGCTGTCACTCTACTTTTCGTGTAAAATTTCACTTGAAGGAATTCTGAGAGCTGATTTGAGTTGTATATCATGTATATTTGTCGTGAATTGGTGCTTCATTGAATTTTCTAAGACGCCAACGAATGGATTTCCATTCTGTTCGCTCCAAGGGGAGAATAGAAACTGGGGGGTGGCCAAACATCACCCTCCACCCAGAACGATCGCATCGGGGAACCGTAGGCTTCCACAGCCGAGTGAATCCTCCCCTCCTCGTGTAAACCCCAAGACGCAATTCTGTCGGACAATTTTTAACCCACTTACGCCTCGTTTTGGCCAAAGTCTCTCCGCGGCGTTTAATCTCCGGCGTTGCACGTCGGCGTAACGGGCTGTCACGTGGCTTTTACGTCGGTGTTGCACCCTTTGTACGGCGATTACGTACTTCGGGCCCCCCGCGGGGACAACGTTGAACCGCTTAATTCCGCCCGGCGAGCCCGTAATGACGTAATATCGTTCAGTTACTCGGAATATTTTTATTACGTCCTCGCGGAAGCGCGCCGCGCGCCGAGAAAGGGGCGGCTAAGACTAAGGGGTTGGTAGGCGGCGAGGATGGGTGGCTTCCGGACTTGCCGGGCTACGCTCGCGATATAACGAGGGCCATTATGATAAGCGGATGCATAGATTAGACATTACTCGTTAACTCGGCTGTGCGCGACGCAAGGCACCAAGGACACGGAGTCTTGTGCTACCAAGAGAGCTCTACGGAAGATCGACGACGAGGCAAGACGACGTTAAGATGACGATCTTAATTAATCACGGCCCATCGCAAAATCGACTGTTTCCGAAATAGCGAAACGACACTAGGCAAATAAACTGAGCGCAACGTTCTCTCGAAGATTAGGGAAAATTTAAATCTTTAACGATAAAAAATTTACTGATTGATGCGATGTTACATTAGCATACCAAGCATGATATATTCCCATGACAGTAAGGGTGTCTTTTTCAGCGGAAAGTTTCATGACTGACAGCAATCGAGAAAAGCCCCATTAGAAATTTATTTCATAATTTTATGGTTATTCTGATCAGACTGTCCCCAAATCAGTTATTTGCACTAAGAAAAACATACTCGAAAATTTATTTGTGAAACCTAAACTTTATTCCAGAGAAATAAACTTTATTTCACAGAAATAAACTTTATACCTCACAAGTAAATTTTCAAGTGATTTATTCTCAGTATTGTTTGTATAGTTGTAATAGAAAAAGAAAAAAATTGTTGATAATTTGTTTATTTTTGAGGTAGAAAGTTTATATCTCACAAATAAAATGTTCAAATATTTTCAAGT